GCTTCAGAGATTCCTTGGTTTTGCAAACTTTTACAGACGCTTCATAAGGAATTACAGTCAAACAGCTCTACCTCTCACAACTCTGACTTCGGTAAAGAAGACATTTCAATGGACACCTGAAGCCCAGAACGCTTTTGAGAAATTAAAGAACCTGTTTTCTAGAGCTCCCATTCTGATCCAGCCAGATCCCTCTAAGCAGTTTATCTTAGAGGTGGATGCCTCAGACTCCGGTGTTGGAGCTGTTTTGTCTCAACAATCTGACTCAGACCAAAAGATTCATCCCTTGGCCTTCTTTTCACATAGACTCTCACCAGCGGAGCAAAACTATGATGTTGGAGACCGAGAACTTCTAGCCATCAAACTCGCCTTGGAGGAGTGGAGACACTGGCTCGAGGGGGCCGAGCATCCAGTTTTGGTCTGGACAGACCACAAGAACCTGGCCTATCTCCAATCCGCCAAACAAGCTAATCCACGTCATTCTAGATGGTCATTGTTCTTCTCCCGATTCAATCTCATAATCTCTTACAGACCTGGTTCCAAGAACGTCAAGCCCGATTCTCTCTCTCGTCTTTACTCTGCTGATCTTTACTCTGCCCTAGCCTCTGAACCTGACCCAGGTAACGGCCCTCCAAATAAAACCTATGTTCCATCTTCCGTCAGATCCCGTCTGATCCAGTGGATGCATGCAGCTAAATTTTCCACCCATCCTGGAGTGAGCAGAACGATTGCCCTGATTACAAGACGTTTCTGGTGGCCATCCTTACACAAGGACGTTAAGGAGTACGTTTTGGCATGTCCCATCTGCGCCAGAAACAAGACTTCTCACCAACCCCCTTCTGGTCTGCTGCTTCCTCTACTTGTTCCAACCCGTCCCTGGTCTCATATTGCTGTAGATTTTGTCACTGGTCTCCCGATTTCTAGAGGTATGTCCACCATTTTAACCATCGTCGACCGTTTTTCCAAGGCTTGTCACTTAATTCCCCTCAGGAAACTTCCCATTGCTTTCCAGACGGCCCAGCTTCTTGTGAAGCATGTTTTCCGACTCCATGGCATCCCTCAAGAAATTCTCTCCGACTGCGGTCCACAGTTCATCTCACAGGTCTGGAAAGCCTTCTGTTCAGCGTTAAACTGTAAGTCCTCACTCACCTCTGGTTATCACCCACAGTCTAACGGGCAGACGGAGACAATGAATCAGCAACTAGAGTCCACTCTCCGCTGCCTGACCTCAAACAACCCTACTGACTGGAGTCAGTTCCTGACCTGGATCGAATTCGCCCACAATTCACTCAAGTCTGCTTCTACTGATCTATCCCCGTTCCAGGTATCTCTCGGTTATCAGCCTCCACTTTTCCCTGCAGACGAGAGAGAGATCTCAGTCCGATCAGTCCATCAGCACATCCGTCATTGTCAGAGAGTCTGGAAGGACACCATCGCCACCCTCTACCGCTCATCTGTCTCTACTAAACGCTTTGCTGACTCCAAGAGACGCCCGGCCCCTGACTACTCCATAGGCCAAAAGGTATGGCTGTCAACGTGAGACATTCCCCTCAAGGGCATGTCTCGGAAACTGTCCCCCCGGTTCATTGGTCCATACAAGGTTGCCCAGATCATCAACCCCTCTGCTGTACGTCTGCACCTTCCTCCGAGTCTCCGCATCCATCCCACGTTCCATGTCTCCCAGATTAAACCAGTTGTTTCTAGCCCCCTGTGCCCTCCATCCGACTCCCCTCCACCCGCCCTGGACATCGATGGACATCCTGCCTTCACCGTCCGCCGGATCATGGACTCCCGTCGGCGAGATCGCGGTTGGCAGTACCTCGTCGATTGGGAGGGCTACGGTCCGGAGGACCGCACATGGGTTCCTGGCTCTTATATCCTCGATCCATCCCTGATTGAGGAATATGAGAGCTCCCTCCCGTCGACATCTTCTGGACCGCCAAGAGGCGGTCGTTGAGAGGGGGGTACTGTTGGGATCTGGAGCTGTACCACCTTCCTCCAGCAGAGTGCGCCGTGGGTCTCCTGGAGCTGGAGTCTTCCAGCACACCTGAGACGCATCTACTCATCAGGAGACCTCCCCTTTATAACCAGCTGCCAGACCTTGCTTCGACGCCGCAGTGTTGACCTTAGTTTGGTTAGCAACCTGAGCCTTGAAACTGAAAGAATCTTAGCTGTCTCTTGAGAGAGATCAGATTCTAACTCTCTTCTGTTTTTGCCTCACAGGAAACCTGTCTCTAGCCTGAAGCTCTGGATGAGCTTAACCTGCCAATCTGCCCTGGAGAGCCTAACCTGAAGATTCCTATGTGGATTCCCCTGCTGCTCTTAGTTAAGAGCTGGAAAATCTGATCAAGGTCTGCCATTCAAAGTCAGAAGCTAGACGCTGCAGCTGCTCTTGAACTCTGCTGAACAAACAGTCTCTGGACCCAACGGTTCCCTCTCTCTCAAAGAGAAGCCCGGATTCAGTCAAGGTATAATCCTGAATTATCAAAGACTCATAACTCATCTGCCTGCCTCCTAATCAAACTATCATCTCTGCAGACTTCAGTGAATTCAGCCCGGACCAGTTCCAGACTCAGTACATTATCTTGTGTTTGTGAAACATTCAATAAACTCTGTTAAACTTTTACCCAGCCTCCGTTGTGTTCTGCATGTGGCCTAAGAACCTTAAACCCATCATGACAATAATGAGGCAGAATGAGGAAATCGCTGGAAACTTGGAACTTCACCTGAAGAACAGAGCGTCCGAATTTGACTGTTTTTCTCTGGCATTGGATTACAGCGGCGAGGTACGTTATCTTTTTACATGTGATAACTGCAGAATTTCAAGTCACAGAGGAACCAGAAGCCATGCAGTCAATTAAAGGGACAATCACTGCCATTGATTTGTTCACAGAGGTAAATGCATGTTTGACAAGTTAGGACTGAAATGGGACAAGCTGGCAGGTACAGTATGACAACATACGGTTTTTCTAACATGATAAAATGTTGGACTTTTATAGAAAATGCAGGATAGAATTACTGAAATTAACCCTGAGAAATTGCCATTTTTGCATTGTATTATACATCACGGAGTGTTGTGTAAATCAGTGTTAAAATGAGCCATGTTGTAACTAAAATACACACTGTTCCGTTCTTCTGTTGTTTGTTTATTTGTGCTTATTTTCAGTAGTGTTTAGTGTATGAGATGCTATTAGATCTAATGGTACTGTGTGATTATAGGCTAATAAAGGTACCACTGTATTTTAATCCTTGGTCTTGTGTGTTCATTTTATAAAATGAGGGATTTATCACGCAGACTGGATTCAATATTTTTAGGAATATGAGCATTTATTTGGTTGGTGATTAATAACTCTGCTCCAAATGTATTACAAGCAATTAAAGGAGAAGTTCACTTTTTAACACTTTAAGCCCATTTTCTGTAGTGTCCAGGATGAAATCGAATGATCGACACCAAAATTTTGACAATTGGTCCTGTCTCTGCTTTTTGGCTCATGCAGAATCCCCCCCTGGCTGCTTTAGAATGGCTTCCATAGAGCATGTCCGATAATGTCCTTAAAACAACCTTAAACATTCTTTTTTTTAAATATGCTACTCACCGGGTCGTCAGCGCTGTTCAATGACGTTCCAAAAAAAGTTTGGTAAAGAAAAAACGTTCCTGTAGTGTTTTATTTATCATTTTGTAAATCCCATTGAGTTCTGTTGGAATAGTCAATATTCCCCTGCCACCGGAAACGGAAATGGGGCCTGTTTACACAGTTGTAGTCTTTTCGCTTCACTCTGCGTACTCCGACGTCGAGAATCAAGAATCCACCTTTCGTATTCCATTTTCAGAGTTTTTTAAAGTGTTTAACAGAGACGTTAGCACCTCGACGTCGGAGTACACAGAGTGAAGCGAAAAGACTACAACTGTGTAAACAGGCCCATTTCCGTTTCCGGTGGCAGGGGAATATTGACTATTCCAACAGAACTCAATGGGATTTACAAAATGCTAAATAAAACACTACAGGAACGTTTTTTCTTCACGAAACTTTTTTTGGAACGTCATTGAACAGCGCTGACGACCCGGTGAGTAGCATATTTTAAAAAAAGAACGTTTAAGGTTGTTTTAAGGACATTATCGGACATGCTCTATGGAAGCCATTCTAAAGCAGCCAGGGGTGGATTCTAAATGAGCCAAAAAGCAGAGACAGGACCAATTGTCAAAATTTTGGTGTCGATCATTCGATTTCATCCTGGACACTACAGAAAATGGGCTTAAAGTGTTAAAAAGTGAACTTCTCCTTTAAGCCGAAAAAAAATTGATTCATGTTTCCTTGTATGTTGGCACAAAATAGATGTTTAAAACCCCTGTATGAAAACATCAGAAAGCAGTAATGAACGCCTCTTTCACACTTTTACACACAAACTCCCATTAATGTGCTTTCCCCACATTGCCACTAATCCTAACCTCCTTGGTGTCAGCCACCATAGTCTATAGCAGGGTTGTCAAACTGGTTCCACAAAGGGCTGTGCGGCTGCTGGTTCTATTTCCAACCAAGTAATAGAACACCAGACTCCAATCATCTCACCAAGTGAGTTTCAGTGTTAACCCAATGACTTTGTGAGATGACTGAGGTCTGGTTTGCTACTGCTTGGTTGGAAATAGACCAAACAGTCACACAGCCCTTTCTGGAACCAGTTTGACACAGTGGTCTAAAGCCTCAAGGCCCAGTGTCCTGCAGCTTTTTTGTTTCTCTGCTTTTTCATACATCTAATGTGATTTCACTTCAGCAAATTACTGTTTATCAGCCATCAATGAAAAGAAACTAGGCTTTCAAAACATGCAGGAGAGTGGCCCTCCAGCTCTAGAGTTAGATATACCTAGAAACCATGACTTCCTCAGAGCCTTTTTATAACCAATATAAATGTTTACAATGAGCAAATCAGGAATGATAGCTTCTCTTTCTTGGGGACAGTGTGTGTCTTAGTGAGTTGAAAAGAAAAACAGACATTTCACAAGCAAATCTGATGCTTAAATTTATTCCTCCTCACCACAATTGACAACTTTCACCTTAAGAGTTCTCATGAGGCCTGAGGTGCTTTGTGATTAACTTTTATTTGACTAAAGGAAACTTGCATTCTTTGAATTTTACGATTTTCTTCACTGACTTCTCTGAAAGCTGCTTGTAGTCTGAGGATTCTTCAAGAATATGAACCCAAAATGTATACATTAGCAAAGTGTATTGCAGCATTTTATAAAGACTTTTATACAATGATGCATACAATGCAAGCATAAGTGTGCTTTAACATGAGTATAACAAATATAGCAGGCTTTAAAAAGCATTTAAAGACTTGAAACAGGTCATTTTTTACCAAAGAAGAGAGGTTTACATGTCAGGCGTATTTTACTAAGTGTAAATCCGTATGTAATTGGGTTAAAAAGGGGCTGACAGGTGAGGAAATATATAGATAAAATAATACGTAAGACATTGGGAACCCTGCTCAGGTCAAACCTACTCTGTAGGATCTCAAAAAAGCACCCAAAGGAGAAATTGATTACAGAGGCCAGGTGAGGTGTGCAGGTGCTGAGGGCTTTCTGCCGGGTCCGTTTGGAGCCAGAAAAGCATACTTTCAAGATCCTTGCATATGTGTAGATGATCAGCGCAGCCAGACCTAGGAGCACGGTGTAAACATAGACCAGTCCATAGATGTTACTGGCTACTGCACCTCTGCACACCAACTTTGTGATATAATAATTTGCACAGTAAACTCTGTCAATGATGTTCCCACATAACTCAGAGAAGGCGTTCAGCGATATCATAACAATTACGTTAAGCAGAGGGAAAAACCATGTCAGGACAACCAGCCTGGTAACCATGTCCATCGACATCCATGCGTTATACTGTAGAGGGTGACAGATGGCAACATATCTGTCGTAAGACATCATGGCTAAGTTATAAAACTCCACGTTGCCGTACATATAGAGAAAGAAGATCTGCAGGAAGCAGAGAGGAACAGAAATGGTGTGGTGATCAGAGAGGATTTGAACCAGCAGGAAAGGAAAGAAGGCTAAGCTGCCGTACAGTTCATTGACAAATAGGCTGCACAGAAACATGTACATAGGTTCATGTAAGCTCCCGTTCACACAGATCACCACGATCAGCAGGATGTTAGAAGATACGATGAGGATAAAAACACACATGATAATCACGAAAACTATATACTTTAACAGTCCAATATCAAAGTAAGCACTTAGAGTGATATATGAAAACTGTGAAAAATTCATCCCTTGTAGCACAATCAGATTCTATAAGAAGGTTATTAGAGACCATAAAAACAAACTATGTTGTAAATGTAGAGATCTATTTTCAAACCTATTTGTATTCCAGTGAAGGTAACATCCTTTAGATTCTAATCAATGCCTGGTTACACAACACAGCTGATATCGTGCAGCAGCCTTCACACTGCGACTCCTCACCCTGCTCTGCTGCTTTTAACCTGTTCAGTCCTGTGTTGAGGTTGTGCAAAAACACACACTGCTACACACTAGTTCTAATCAGTGAGGGAAAAAAATTACACTATATTAACAGCAATCAGTTTATGTTTTAAAACAGAGGTTTAAAACATAAACTGAGGGGCGTTGAGGAGGTATAGCCTCCCCTGAAAACAGAAAAATCGTTTTTTCTATTTTTCATTTTCATCATGCTTACCTGTCTGATAGTTTTCTTCTTCCTGTCAAAAACCAGGTGTTGCTCCCCAAGCTGCTCTCTCTACTAGTCATCCTTTGCTTTAATGTTGATACATGTAAAGAGGGATTGACCTTAAGAATGACACAGACACAATGAAAAACATCAAAAGGAAGCCACAAAAAAAAAAAACATACAAAAGAAGGGGAAAACAATAATTAGGGAAAAATGTATTGTTAAGTTGGCAGCTTTTTATTTTTTTATTATTATTTTTTTTTACTCTACATTGCACACACAGTCATGTACATGCAGATACATTGTAAATGCTGGTGTATGTGTTTAGTCAATCTCAGGGTATAAATGTACTGAACCTCGCTGAACCTGCCACCTGGACCACTGGGGCTGCAGCCCCCATTACTTCTAAATAGAACAGTCTAATGAAAGAAGTAATTTATGGTGTATTTAAACCAGCCCTATTTAGTCAGTTTTAATCAGACCATGCTTCATTTGGCTAGAAAGTTTGGTTAGTTTAAGGAGGTATGAATTGAACTCTGATGCAGACTAAAAAAGCAAACTCAGGTCTGCCTCAAAACGTAAGTCTCTGCTCGGTTGAAGTGAACCGAGTCTGCCTGCCGTTCATAGAGATGTGAATGCCAGGCAGACTGGAGACCGCTCCAAAAGCTGCAATAGCACTGAAATTGTATAATAATGCAAAGTCTCAAAAGAATTTTGTTTTTATAAAGTCTGATTTGTTACTGTTTTATTATATTATTCCTAGCTGCTCTAACCCATTTTGCAAACGATCAAATGAAAAAAAGAAAGAACACATATGAAACAATTTGACTGTATGATCTGGTGAACTGTAAAGTGCCTTACAATGACATGTGTTGTGAATAGGCGCTATAGAAATAAACTGAATTGCATTGAATTGTACAATGGTCATTTGCACAAACGTTGACTGCAGGTGCTCATCCAGGGGGAGTGAAACCTGTAAAGTCAAGTCTTGATTAAATCAGCTGGTTTCTCAGAAAGAAAACATTTCAACATCTTCCTTGATGGTTTGACTGAAGTGAGGTGCCTTGAGACGTCATGTTTTGTGAATTGGTGCCGTAAAATAAACAATTGAATCAAACTGAATTCACAACTACACTCAATGGCAAAGCAGACTGGCCTTTTGCCCATTCTGGAGGAGTCCTGAATCAAGGCTCTGTCCAAGGCTGTCGATATGTCTATGAAAAGTTCAAAGGTGTCAAAAGTGTTAATGTTTATTACTCAAGTAGAAGTAGAAATCCTACTGTTTAAAAGCACTTTTTGTAAAAGTCTAAAGGTCACGGATTAGCGGACCGCGGTCCGGATCTGGACCCACCTGCTGGCTAATCTGGACCCAACCTGATTTAAAACATTTATAATTTACAGCATGTTGTCCGACGACAGTGTCTAACGTCACCTGCATGCTTCTCCTGTCTGTATGGTAAAGACCGCCAGCATCTCCGGGACCAGGCTACACGTGATACAAGTTAGCCAATGAGCTGCTGTCAGTCTGGGTTGCTGCTGCTGCTACTTTTAGACAGAGCAGGCAAACCTGTGGCAAGCCGGGCGATGCGAAAGAAGGAGAAGACGAGAAAAAAAGTAAAAGAAAGTGTGGACTCCTGGAAGAACTGTGGGGAACTAGTGATAGAAAAGTGAAATTTCATGCTCAAACATGACCCTGTGCTTTTAGAGTATGTTTGGCTCAAGCTGCTGCTGTGAAGCAGGATTCTCCACCATGAACAGAATCAAAAGTAAATATGGATCCAGGTAGAGGAGAGGGCAAATATATTTTTTAATCAGATATTATTCGGACTGTCATATGCTATGAACACATGCCCTATTAGCTGTATGTTAGAAGAATAAATGAAAGAGTGATTTGAGCACTAATCATGGTCAAACTGTTATTTCTGCACATACATGGAATAAATTCACCAAAACTTGTGTTCAAAATATAAGAGTTTATTAACAAAAATCATTCAGCTCCAAGTCAGAGATATTCCAGTTAAAAACTCTTGACTAAAACTAGAGAAACTGAACTAAACTAAGCTACTATGTACAAAGAAGAAGGAAAAACATGGTTGAAACAATATTAGAATTTCAGATGGATTTTGTGTTTGAAAACCAAAGTTTATCTGGAAGAATTTAGGATGTGATCAAATTAGCTTTTCACTAATTTAGAGAAATTGGAATGTTTTCAGACCAATTCACAATTGAAATCCAAGTGGTGAATAAAACATTTTATAGCCAAATAATATTTTATAAAATGTTTTGCTTAATCGGGAACCAATAACCTTTAGTTAATGATTCTTTAGACATTAACATTAACTACTTAGACATCAGGATTCCATTAAATGACTCTTGGTCATACTTGGTAATTGGAATGTAATGAGCATCTGAGGAACACATGAACACTAATGTTATATCAGTGCTTAAACCCTTAGTGAAATAAAGCTTGTCCAAGCTTCAACAACAGCTCAAAATATATTACTGTAGCAAAGCGCACCATGTAATCCAACCAGGTAGCTTTGTCTTTACTCATCGGTAAACACATGAAATGATCAAAATCATCAAAATACATATTGTTTAACTAGATTCTGTCCCTAACTGTGCCAGACCAGCAAACCTCTCTCCATGTCCATTTTCAAAGGTTTGAGTTTTCCCCAGCGCTGCAGTTTAGCAGGGCTGGCTCACAGCAAAGGGTGGGGGTTGTCCTTTGTCCCATGCCGCTCACACCTAGGAAAAGGCAGCTTTAGCTGGCTTTTACCTCTAGTCCGGCTCTGTAAGTTCTGAAACTCAGAGAAATGTGTTGCAAACGGCCCGTTTAGCAGCAGTTCAGTTATGGAATTTCAATCATCACGATTGAGCCTTGTTCATTCTGAAGATTCTGGACCAGAGTCTCTGAAAAAGAAACTGATTAGCCAGTCACTTCATTTGGATGGGATTAAACTGATTTCAGATAATAAAGTAAAAAATCTTGGTGTTATTTTTGATCAGGACCTGTCATTTAAATCCCATATCAAAGAGGTTTCTAGAATTTCCTTCTTTCATCTGAGGAACATTGCAAAAATTAGAAATATCCTGTCCAGGGGTGATGCTGAGAAACTAGTCCATGCATTTGTTACTTCAAGGCTGGACTATTGTAATTCTTTACTATCAGGAAGTCCACAAACTGTAGTTAAAAGCCTTCAGCTGATCCAAAATGCTGCAGCCAGAGTTCTAATGAAAATGAAAAAGAGAGATCATATCTCTCCTATCCTGGCTTCTCTTCATTGGCTTCCTGTTAAATCAAGAATAGAATTTAAAATCCTCCTTCTCACATATAAAGCCTTAAATGGCCAAGCTCCATCTTATATCAGAGATCTGATTGTTCCTTATGTTCCTAACAGAGCACTTCGCTCTCAATCTGCAGGTTTACTAGTGGTTCCTAGAATTTCTAAAAGTAGAATGGGAGGCAGATCTTTTAGTTATCAGGCTCCTCTCCTGTGGAACCAACTACCAGTTTTAGTCCGTGAGGCAGACACCCTGTCTACTTTTAAGGCTAGGCTTAAAACTTTCATTTTTGATAAAGCTTATAGTTAGGGTGGCTCAGGTTATCCTGAGCTCTCTCTCTATAGTTATGCTGCTATAGGCTTAGACTTTTGGAGGACATAGGGACCCCCATTTCATCATTCTGCTTCATTCTCTCTCTGTTCTCCTATTCTGCAGAATCTGTTAGTTCAATCTCTAACCTTCTGCTCTCTCTGCTTTTCCTCAGAGTAGCTTTGCCTCGTCTGTTCCTGTTTGGCTGTGACGTCATCCTGGAAAAAAACATCAGCTGTGCTGCTTCTATCAACACCCTTGTTAATAGATGTTGGAGATCGGCCTTTTTTCCAGTGTGGTCCTGTTTCTCTGACCGTGACTGAGTGGATGTGCTCTCTTCGTCCTCTGGCATGGGAGCTGCCTTGGAGCTCGTCTGCCTGGCTGTGTGTTTCCTGGACGGGGCCGCCTTTTACAGCTGCTTTTTGTATCTCTGCTTCTGTCTCCTTGAACCCCAGTCGGCCTCGGCAGATGGCCGCTCACACTGAGCCTGGTTCTGCTGGAGGTTTCTTCCTGTTAAAAGGGAGTTTTTCCTCTCCACTGTCGCTACAAGCATGCTTAGTGTGGGGGATTGTATTTGAGTCAATGAGTCAATGCAATCAACTGGTTTTCCTTAGATAGAAAACTTTGTATCAATTTGACTGTATGATCTGGTTGAACTGTAAAGTGCCTTGAGATGACATGTGTTGTGAATTTGGCGCTATATAAATAAACTGAATTGAATTGAATTGAAGATCTGGGCCTTGAACCTGGCTCTCCATGGTGGTATCCTCTTCCAGTGCGAATCCCCGGGCAGCTTCACAGAAAGAGAGAAATGTCCTTTGCTGTGTTTTTTTTACTGTTCCCAGCTCCATGGGGGGCCAAGGCACACCTCTGCAGGAGGGGTCCCGTGTAGCCAGTTTGCTGAAAGGGGGTTGCAGAGCAGAGAGGAGGTCTCACAGCTGTTTTATGAGCAAAACTGCATCTTCTTCTCCAGTGATCATGTTAAGATGAAACATGAACATTGGTTCTTAAAGTCCAAAATTATTATCATGGTTTATGGCACAACATCTGTAACTTCATACTACTGGAAAATAAGAAATATGTGACATAAGAGCAGCTACCTGAAGAATTTAGTCTAATCCTGTTTTAATGATTGCTGCAAAAATACAGGCAGATAA